CCATCTACGAAGTATGGGAGCAATACAACGACAAAACTCTGTAAAGAGCAGATTAGTAGATATGTGAAGGGCAGAGGTCTGGATAAATGAGAGGCTTGAGCTCCCGTGATATGCCTTTTTGGTGGTTTCTCCGCCAAATTCATGATAGATTCGACCACCTGTCTGCTGGGGATTGGTTATGGCATTGATGTTGGAGTGTGGACAAAAGTTCATGATACCCGTATCCAATTGATGAATCCTTTGGTATGTTACTGTGGAGAAAAAGCCAGAACTGAAACTCCCTCAATCCTATTGAAAATGAAACCAGTCAAGCTGGACCAGCCATATTAACAGTATTCCTCGACGGAACTGAAGACTACTTGTTATTATTGAGATATGTACAGAGTACAAACAAATAGATGGATCAGCGGATGTGATGGGGTTCCCGAAAGGAGTCAAGGACCACAAATTGTCAAAGCGACTGGAGCAAGATTTCCGATGCAGGTAGCCAAGTGGTACAGGGGTCAGGCAGGACGAGCCAGGATCGAACCGAGTGGTTCATGGGAGAGCCCATGTTCAACACCGATCGCTGGGCAGAGTCCATGAATAGTAGCATTCTTGCTGGAGCCAAGTTGGGCGCATCGTGAAACAGGGCTTTGGGAAAACAGAACGCTGGGACCTTGACTGTGCGGCGTCCCAACCTCCAAACATTTAGAATCAAAATAAGATAATTATCATAGCACAGGGGCAACTGAGGAGACGTTGCGATTACAGGGTGGCTGGCGAATATTATTTTCCTGAGAAACGCCCTGAGCGCCAGAGATGAGGCTGGCCTGCCCCTTTATTTTCCACTTCTCGAGTCATGTTTCAACCTTCAAGCTGAGACGGACAGTAAAATAACAGAGAAGCGGGGAAGAAGCCTGAGGCCCTCCGTAATCCTGATCTTATCGATAAACCGGTCCATATTCTGATGATCTGGGGCAGAGGAACGCAGCGGCTAGGGCAGCATGGCCAATCAAGGCTCAGGCGGTGATACCCATGCAGATAGCGTGTGGAGGATTTCCAGAAGATACCTGATTTCCGCCAGGGTTGGACTCGCTCATTCGATGGCTTGGGCTGTGCGACTGTTTGCTTTTTCCCGTTCGTTGATGCGAGGGGCAAGCGTGTTGGGCCAGCAAGGCTGGTTGCAGCCCTCCGCACTAGAGGCTGCAGGGGGAGATGATTGGATCACACCAAACGGCGCAGCTCATTTCTGCTGGCAGACATCCTTGTGGATCGTCCCCCCGATGGACTCCCTGTTCCCTGCTCGCTATGCATCTCATTGTTGATATTCGGCTGCTTTTTCTCTGGCGAAATCGAATCGAAATCGAAGGGGAAGGGCTGCTTATGTAACTCAGATTGCGCAGTGATCATCGGCGCTAACCCGAAACAATTGTGCCAAGCTCAAGCGTGGTTTCCGAGAGGCGAAACGAACCAATCAGCGCGCTGCAGAAACCAGCGGCCCGCTTTTCGCTGGGTGCTGATTGGTGTGCGGGTGACGCCATAACGGGGCCAGAGCTTCAGCTTTGCCCCCAAGCCATGCCCGATGCAGGCTAGCGCTGCTCCATGCGCTGCAATCCTTGCACAGTCAGCGGTGGCAGCGTGGTTTTGTTGGGGCTCCGGCGAATCAGCAGCGCAGGCCCGCCCCCAAACACACCCCAACCCGCGCACTAGCGCCGTGTGGCAGCCAATCAGCGCCGGGCAGCCGCTGCGTTGTCACTTGACCCGCCCTTTGACTTTTCACCCCGACTTGCGCTTTTGCCTGCTTCCCACACCGACTCTTCCGTTCTGCTTTGTTCGCTTTTCGCCTCCTTCGCTCATCCCACTTCTGCAGTTCTGCTTCCATTCACTCTTCTTCTGAATCCCCTCTCTCTTTGCCATTCGATTCGATTCTCTGCTTCCACACGGCTCTTAATCCCTTCCTTGTGACTTGTGCTTCGCTTTGTGCTTTCGTTGCCCCTGCGGCTCTTGCTCTTCCGTAATAGACCACAAAACAAAGCATAATCCCTCCGCCACCCATCCAACCGGCTCAACCGAACATCGCAAACATCCGACGAAAAGCTATCCGCCGGCTCCGACGACCATTCTTATTGTGATCAGTTTCCCCAACGGATTTGTTTTCACTTCCTACAGAGCCGCAATGTCTTCATACTTCTTTTCAGGCCACCACCCACACCACGCGGCCCAGCAGCAACACCAGCCGCAGCATCCCCCGCCACCCTCCCATATTGCTCAGCACTCTTCTCATAATCACCATGGCGGTCGATCTCGTCGCACGCAGAAGATGGGCAGCCAGAATTCCCATCGTCAGTTCCGTGGTGTGAAGAGCATGAGGGAGTTGGCGGAAGCGCCCGCCATTACCGCTTTCCGGGCCCGATTCGAGGCTGGTCGTTCGTTTGATCTCGACGACGACCTGGAATTCTGCCCCAATCTCTTGACTGAGGATGATGTAGGTTGAACCTAGTAATCTTATCCATTGATCGGTCCGGTGGTGTTGGGCCGTTAGTTTGTTCGGGATCCACGGTTGTTAACGCTTGATGACTCGGTTCAGTTGCATTCAATCGCATCCTCCGTCTCGGATCGTTCCTCCCTCGCCAGCGCATCTCCTGACTCGTCACCGCTCCAGCACCAAATCCAGCCGGCGCAGCAGGTCACCCCGGCTATTTCGTTATCCCCCGCCTCTCTCAACTCCTATACTTCAAATAGTTTTAATCAGATGAAAATCCACCAACCGTCGGCGGTGCGCACGAGAAACGCCATCCCGATTGTCAATCCCAGCACCGGAATGCGAGTATCCAGCCCTCCATCAACCGTTTCGCCCAACATGATGCAGCCGTCAGACCAGCGCCGATGGTAAACCGGACCCGGGGAAAATGGAAACAAATTCCCCGGCACGTTATATACGCTTCTCTCCCTCCTCGCCGCTTGGTATCTTTTCTGCATCGCCTGGGTCGACCGCCGTTTTTGTGCCTCTTTCTCCGTTTATATCCTTTTTTTAGTTCCCGAGTACGATTCCGTGGATCACCGCGCCTCCCGACCTACTAATCTTTCCGACCTGTACATACGGTTTCCTCCATCCGCGCCTTATCCTTATTTCCGGTGATCCAATGTTTTATACGAAGAGACGTTTTGTTTCCTGAGAGCAAACGGTGCATCATGAGCCGATTACCTACGTTTACTGTCATTCGATACCTGGTGGTTTCGTTTTTTTTTTCATATCCTCTGGAGGGAAAATAAAAGAGAAAAGAACATTTATGTTTTGTCTTGGTCTGTACCCAAACGATGAACTATAGAACGAGCGGCGACTGTGATTTCCTTTTGGGAAAAGGGCTGTACAACGGACCGTGGAGTTTGTTTCCATATCTTCCCCGAGCGAGCGAGTTATTTTCATTTGCCATATGTTTTGCACGGATGGGCTTTCTGGTGGGGTGATTATGTGTGGGCGAAATCTTAGCAGTGATATCCAGGATACATATCATTTTGGGCTGTGGCTGAACTGGAGTGAGATGGGTAGTCGGTTTTCTTTCCTCTTTTTCATTTGCCAGCTTGATTTTGTCGCTAATAGACAGAAATGATGTATGGGTGCATCGGATGTTTGTCGCTTGTTTTGTTTGGATATTTGACGCAGCTTATTTCCCTCTTGGCTACATACTAAACTTGCCTACGCCATTTATACTCTCATTTCACCAATATCCCTTTTCCTTTTGTCTCTTTTCCTCTTGAACCGCTTTGAAAAGGAACACGAAAAGAATCACAGTTTGAAACTGGGTACAGGCTGGAGCGGGAAATACCTGCAATCAAGTCTGCTTTATATCCGTTTGAAGAACTTGCTTGCTCTCGGGTATGTCGAGTTTGCCGGTGTCGGGTTATTTGGCTGGGTGGGTGGGACGGTCGACAGATCGTATGGCATAGGGCTTGTGGATGCCCTGGGTGGTTTGATTCTTTGGATTTTTTGGGGGCAATCTCTAGCGATCAGAGAGCAATTTATAGCAAGTAGTATATGGAAGTACATACCATTCATTCATTCATTTCTTCTTCTCCTTATCTGAGATTGAACAGATAATACCCCATCCACCAGTTATGGAGCACAGGTCTGAGCCATGGTGATAACTCGGCAACCCCTCTAGCCATAAACCATCCCATGCGGGACTCCATCGTTGATATTCAAACGATCCCCGTCATGATGGATAATAAATTGTGTCATCCTCAAGCAAGAATTCCTGCCTGGCCCGGTGACGTCACCGCCAGAATGGACCTCAAGTATAAGAGGTACCTGCTACTTGACGATGGGGTACTCGAGATCATTTTTCTATCAATTGAGCATTTGATCACGGGGAGACATTGTTGAACATACCTAGAACAGATCGGGATTCTCAAACAGCGCACCTTTGTAAGGTACGATATCGCAAATTGCTTCTGGACATTCCAGAAGTCTCAACGCCTTGTTTCATCCACCACACCAGCGGCAAACCTTTGTACATAGGTACCCGTAAACTTGTATAAGGGAGATGCTGATCTGCTCAAAGATACCTAGAACTTGGTCACTGTCGTACCGTTCCACACCTCCGATCCAGACTGAACTTCAGCATCTCAACCTCAATCCCTTCCAAAGCATCAAACACCACACCTATTCAGAAAATCACCACGGATACAAAGCCAACAAGCCATGTCCTTCCTTTCTCTCCCCAGATCTCGTCTTTCCCAGACAGCCCTCCTCTCCCGCCGATTCCTCGTCCCCGCTTCCACAACCCCGTCCTTCCACTCTTCAGCATCACGCAGCGTCCTCAAGGAATCTGATAGACGTAAGTCGTCCGGACACAGAGACCCGTTCCTATAACACAGTCAAGACCAATTTGCTAAACGGTCGGTTGTATATCAGATCGCGAGGAGGGCAACGATGTAGCCAGCGAGATTGAGAAGCACAAGCAGTCGCAGATCGACCAGCATAAGAACGGCCATGATAAAGCCGGCTGGGTAGAAGAATTGGCTAGTTCCAGTGAGGAGAATGTGAGTTGGTTTTCTCTCCTTCCTCACGCCCCAATACCCATCAGAGATTGGGCTAATTGATGGCTGTTTCTTGCGTTGGGTGTAGGTCAAGGCGGATAGAGGCGAGATCAGAGATGCTGCCTTTGACAAATTCCAGGAGAAGAAAGAACGGGAGAAAGGAAAGTCGGCCTAAAGTGGCTTTGGCTGCAGAGAACAAATGCGAGTCGTTGAGTCACAACTTTAGTCAAGTTTGAAAGTTCTTTGTATGTTTTTTGACGAGTGCTTGTATGACAATCTATTGTCAGAAGCCTCAATGGGTGTGTACATATTGAAACAAAACCTCAATTGAACCGTTCCAGGGACCCAGTGTCAATGTTCAGAAATGACCGTGAAACGAGCATCACATAGCCCTATGCAGAAGATCACCTGGCCTGGGAGGCCCCAGGGCCTGGGTCCTCAGCGCTACCCCAGTGCTCGAAACCAAATAGTTTATATAACACGTTATATAGTATATGAAAGCCCATTGGAAAAGAGGCCTATTAAGCAATCAGTACATAGGAGAAGTACACGCCAGTCCAACGACGCCATTGGTTCAAATCAAACCACCATAAAAAGTAGAAGTGCTCGGCAGTGCCTCAAAAAAGGCCTTTCGAATGCAAAAATATACACTGGGGGGAATCGCGCTAGGACAAGTATCAGAAACCGTTGAAGCTGGGGAGTAGCGGCGTAAAAGTCGAAAACTCTGGTCCCAGTCCCCGATTGTTTATCAGGATTTATTTCAAAATCACAATCAGAATCACGAGCACAATGATCAATCCAATGATCCACATGATTCCCCGACTTTCTCTCGCATTTCGCTTGAATTTGCCGAGTCTTCTGCGCGCACCGTCGAGCCGGCCGGCATGCCGATCAACATGCCCATCGACTTCATCCAGTAACGCCACGTGATCTTCCAGCTCGTCACCAATCTGGATGCTCAGCTGATGCTGCCGTCCGATCGATTCGCCCAACCGATCGAGCTGGTCATCCTGCTCTCGCATGATTTGCGCATGGTGCATATGTATTTCTTCGTTGGTGAGATGTGAATGGTCTAATGTCGGCGATGGCGTGTCGCGGTATGGCTGGAGGAGGGCTCTACGGTTGGGATCCTCATCCTCCGCCTGTGCAGTGAGGGTATCTGTGAATCTGACTGATTTGGATATTGGGTGCTGAGGGGTTGGATGTTTCAGAGTTGTGGAGGCGGATGCGCTGCTGGCTTTGACGAAATCGCCGGCTAGGGAAGGGTCGTTTGGGGAGGAGAGGGTGTCGTTGGAGGATGAGGATGGGTTGTCGTAGAACTGAGATTCAAGGTCTTGAAGCTGTTGTCGAAGGGAAACGGCTTGCTCTTTGAGATCGACAAACGACCTGGGATAGAATTCCATGTTAGTCCCACGAATTCCAGTGGTATCAGTTTGATTGGGAGTCCTTACGAATCGCCGTCTTCCTCCAGACGCCTGGCCTCTTTCTCGACAGATTCTATGCCTTCTCGGAGTGAGTCTAGGGAGCGAGAGATCTCCCCATCTTGGGAATTTGGTTCAAGGTTCAAAGAAATGGCCCGTTGGCGCTCAAGTAGAGATAGTTTGACGTGGTCTGCCAGGAGGAACAGCTGACCTGGATTGCTCATGCTGGCGACGGGATATCTTGGGTAACACACAAATCAAGGGCAAATAAGCAGGCCAGCCGGTTGCAGCAATCTTCAGCGTCAGTTAGTTCAGATGAAGCGATGCCCGACATTGCAACCTGGAGATGAAACTCGTTGCGGAATGCCAGTCGTGAGATATCGGTAACACGGCGTATTACTTACAGGCTTTGAGTGGGAATACAGCTTATCGCTTCTGATAAGGGTGTATTGTCGTTACGGAACCTTGTCCACCACCGTCTTCATCCGCAGTTCCTCAGCAAACAACTCGGGAAACTTCCAACAACAACCACTTTCTTGCCCGACAGTTGAATGCGTGCGGCATATCGGATAAATCGGTCAATTGATTCTCATCGACTCCTTCACAGCCTGTCCTTTTTGCCCTTCAGCGAAACTGAACCCGAACCAGGTCCCACTTCCCCGCAGATTCCGGTCGACATCGCAGCTTGGATAACCTCACGCGGCGAGAACGCCTCTTGCTGGTGCACTTTTCAGCACTCACTGCATGCATTGAATTATGGCATCCAGCATCGATTCGCCAGTGGATCTCCGATCCCTCGAAACCGTGTCTGAGTATGACGGACACCTGATGTGTCCCATCTGCCATTGCCCGTTCGTGAACCCGGTCCAGCTGAACTGCGATCATATATTCTGCCAGGCATGTTTGGACACCTGTATCCGGACTTCGAACCCTCTTGTGCGCCACCGAACCCTCCCCGATAACTTCCTCTGTCCAACTTGTCGACTGCTTACGAATTCTACGTTCAAACGTGCACCTCGGCTAGTCGTGGCTATGTGTGATGACATACTTGTGAAGTGCCCATATACGCCCCAGGGATGCAAGGAGGTTATCCAGCGTGGTTATGTACAGTCGCACGTGGATAAGTACTGCGCCTACAAACTCATCGAGTGCTTAGATGAGGCCTGTGACAAGATGATTCGAGTGAAAGATATGCCTTCAGATAACCATTGCGTGCACCAGCTGCAGGAGTGTGACGGATGTGGGGAATCAGTTATGGAACTGGAGTTTGATGTGGGCATTCTACCTTTCTCTACCCAGCTGTTGCGGTTGTTGACTCCTCTTCATAGAAACACAAGGCCGCATTATGTTCGGCAACAGAAATGACTTGCTCGACATGTGGTGCGACTCTATGTCGACGGGAATATGCGGACCACATCAAGGACTGCTCTACGAGTGCTTGCCAGGCAGCCGCTTATGGGTGCCCTGTCACATTACACATCTCCGAAATTGAAGAGCACGAGAAAGGCTGCCCGCTGGTTACACTTGGACCATACCTCGAGAACCAGTCTTCGCGCATCGCCTCAATGGAGACCACAATCAGGCAGCTTCAGCAACGAAACGAAGTACTTGAAGAAGGCATTGCGAGCATCCGCTCTTCACTACAGACTAGCCGCCCGTCATCTGCGCTGGGCACCGCCAGTTCATCCCAAATGGCCGTCGAGGACATACCATCGACGGATCTTGCAGAGTTGTTGACTGAAACAACGGCACAACCGGAACCTTCGACGGCTGGTAATACAAACACAACCACTTACCTCCTTTCCATTCACGAGTCCCTTCGCGAAGAAGTGAGCGAACTCACACACGCTCTCTCGGACCTGGATGCGCGCGCCAACATGACCATAATGAACGAGAATCTCCGCCTCCGAGAAGACATGGCGCATATTAGCGCCGGCCTCAACACCGTCAGAATGCAAGTACACATGCTGATCAATTCGTTCCTACACCAAGGCCAGCGACCAATGGGTACTCGCCCGGCACCAACTGTTGGCAACAACAGCGTCGAAGGTTTAAACTCCCCTGGCCCATCCAGCTCTGTTAACCCAAGGATGAACTCGGAGACTCTTTTGAGCACGAGGAGGCAGAGTGACAGCCGAGAAAGCACCAAGCTGTGAACAGCTTGTGGCAAGGGTACATCATTGAGTATTTGTGCTTTATGTGTTTATGCGCGCTTCATGACTTTTATTTATATACTATCAAGGACCAGGGCATAATGGGATAAGCTTGCGATATGAGTCACTAGGGAAACATGGGGGAAAAATTGCATTGTTGGTGATTATTTGCATGTATAGTTATTCTAGTTTTCTTCGGGTGTTTTCTAGGGTTGCATATCATCCATTCATTTTGGAACAGTTCATCTTCATGTAGATAAGATCTCTCTTTCTAATATTAGGTTGCCGAAAAAAATATACAGTCGTTGAAAAAAAAGGGCACGAAGTCCCTATCCCATAGAAAATATCGATTGTTGGCCCGCATTAGCAAGCCGTTTACAAAGCCGCGATGGCAGCAATCGCCACAGCAGCGCCACCTACAAGCCACCCGGTAGATCCTGAGAGCTTGGGCATTCCACCAGTGCTCACTGGGGCGCTGGCGCCAGTGCCGGTTGGAGCGTCGGTGCCGGTGGGAACAGAGTCAAGTCCGGTGCCGGTGGGAGTGGTCGTGGCGGCAGGGAGGTTCTGAAGCTTCTCGGCGCCAGCTGTAACTGGAACGGGATAGAAGACCATCAAGTCGGGATCAGAAATGACGCCGTTGGTGACGATTGACGTCGCAGAGCCTTTTGTAGCTAGCCGATGCGGTGCCTTCACACTCGGCGCGGGTGGTGCCGAAGAGTTTGCATTTGACTTGGTTCGTTCCGATGCTAATGTAGAGACAAGGGGGAAGTTAGGATGTAGATGGCAACCAAAGGGGTCTTGACGGGAAAAAAACATACGCTCCAGCCATATCGATGGTGTTGTAGAGTTCGTAGGTACTGGGGCCCTGGGCAACAGTGATACCCGCAGACTCTCTACAGATTCTTTCGTTGAAGCCGATGGGGCAAAGAGCGTAGGATGTAATGGTGGGTTTCTACCATGCAGATAAAGGTTAATATCGCTTGTAGAGATAGAAAGGGAGCAACAGGTCTGCGACTTACGGCAGCAACCACCGAGGCCCCGAAAGTGAGATCGTTCTCCGCGATATCGAATTGTGGAAGCCACAGGCTCACGGTGGGTGTCGCATCAGCGCGCTTTTGCGGTGCGGCCGCAGTCAAGCTGCCAAAGAGGCAAGCTGCCAGGAATGCAGTGGATTTGATAACCATTTTGTTCAGGATTCACCGTTCTTTGCGTGTATCTCTTGAGAATTCAGCACCTCGACCTGGAATGGATGCGTGGTTTTGGGCTCCGTTGGGCGGGAGATTTGAGATGTGACTGGGTATAAGAGAGGGAAATATAGGGAAAATGCGGGAATTTGCGATCGCTCGTCTTGATTTAGAAAACGAGCGTGGTTATGATTGAACGAAGGGACGAAACCGATGCCGATGGCAATTTCTTTCAAGGTCAAGCAGACTTGAGTAGTGAAAAGGGAGAGACACAAGAGACTTCCAGGAGGCGAAAAGGCGCTTTGATATAGTTACAGAGTCGCTAGTATAGCTCGCACCGCGCTCGGAAACAAGGTCAGGCGCCCACCATTGTTTTTTTCGGTCGCTCCCTAGGCGGTCTTCGCTCTAGCGTGGCTGGGTGATGTCGCGGGGCAGTGCGAGAGAGCGCATCCAAGGCCGAATCCCGGTCTCCTCCAGGGCTTGCTTTTTCGCTGGTTGCTTGTTGATAATCTTAATTGAGTTGGCGAGTCCATCCACAGTGCCTCGTTCCACCTTCATTTTCGCCGGTCCAGGCAATCAGAGTTCGCGCCGGCGCTGATGGTTGCACGCGAGATGGCGTTCCTGTCCAGTTGCTGGTGATCCTCGACTTGCTCTTCCACGGTTAAGCTTAGCCAGCGCTGAGCTTGACTTCCACAATCCCAAATTTCAGCCAATCAGAGAGTAAGATTAGCTGACTAATGGTGTATTTTTGCCAAGAGCGGGTTCCTTCCCCATGAAAACATTCGGTGGGTCACGCTTTCTGTTTTGGGAACAGCAGTGTCACGTGATACAAATAAATACCACGTGATTTTCGACTAGCCTAAAGAAAGGCAACAGTGATTGCTTTGGCTTGATTTGGGCATAACCAGGAGAATGCATCTTGCAGTTTATGCTGCAGACACTATGTACACAAACTGAACGTGACCGCATCTAACCCCTGTGCTGCCGCCGTAATAGT